CTAAAAAACCTCAGTTCTTAAATTTGAATGCTAATGACCATGGTGTCAAACAGATCCTTCATAGATATAAAATTCAATTGTACAAAACACTTACAGCTTATTTTCTTATTGAGTTGTATGCTGAAACATGCCCAGAAAAGTCCAGTCTCCTCTCCGCAACGATATGATCCCTCCTTTCTAACGTCTCTGCAAACCTGCTGCACTAACCAAAAACACTTGATGCACTTCTCCAAAAAACTCAACTACTTATTAATGACACAAGGACCTCCTTTTGTCAACTTGATGCCGTAAAACTACTTTCACAAATCTTCACAAAATGCCAACGGTAGATACAAGGACCTCTTTTAATCTGCTTGCTATCTCCTTCTGCAAAACTATTCAATTCTCTTCACAATGCCGGTATCCAACTCACGAACCACACCCTATCTTGAGACAGACGACTGTTTCCTTCGATGACCAAATTATAACTGCCTCTCTCCGTGTCCTCATCAGGCTAACCCCATTACCACTCAAAAACGACTATCCAATTAAAAGTTCCAATCTTGTTTACCACTCTTAATATTTATTTTAAAATTCTATGTATCATTTGGGAAAGCCAAATTACTGTTTCAGAGAAAAACTAAATAGCTTACTTTAAAATTGGTTTTGTCAATACAAAATTTATACATATTTCAAAAGATTAGAATATGGTCATTTAATACTCGATTATACAAACAATGAAAAGATTAACTCACAGGTAACATGTCTTCTAATTCTAAACAAAGGTTTTTTTGATAATTTTTGTTGAAAACGGAAAAGGTCGTTTTTTAATTTAACATTAAAATAAACAGTTTAATTAATTAAGTTTATTTATGTGTGAAATCTTTTAATTTCTGTTAGTATTGTAAATCTAAGTGTACGTCAGTTTTTGAAATGTTTGTTTTTTACAGTTTACTCCTGATGAAGCTGTTAAAATAAATGGCGAAATATTGAGTTTTAGAAAAAAACAAAGATTCTTTATTTAATATAGACCACATACCCGATTGTTTTTTGGTCGAAATAATCACGTTAAATATATATGTATCTATATATATATATATATATATATATATATATTATATATATATATATATATATATATATATTATACATATTTATATATATATATATATATATATACATATTTATATATATATATTATATATAATATATATATATATATATATATATATATATATAATTGCATTTGATTCACAAGCTTTTGGAGTAGATAGGTACATACAATGAATCAAAAATCCACGAGGAAAATAAATATTTAGAGCTGATTGTATATCTAAATCGCAAAATTATAAAACAAATTATTACAAGCATAATATACCAAATGTTTTTACCACTTTTCTGTTAATACTCTAATTCGTAAAGTATGTAATAAGATACAATTAGTATTTGTCCGTATACCGGGTAATGGTAAACAGTGGCGGCAAGGTATTTTTTGTCTCCTCAGATAGGTATACCGTCTAATAAAGACTTCAATCATCATAGGAGATTTTTTGTTTTCTTGTTTTTTGTTTTTTTTTTTGTTTTTTTTTTTCCTATAAATTTAGAACCTAAACATGTTTATAAATTAACTCTAGTCTACGTTGTTTGGAAGTAGCAAAATGGGTAATAACGTCATCGTAAAATTTATTAGAGTTTTGGAGAGATTTTAAAAGTTTTTTTTCTATTGACATTTGAGACAAGCTTGACATTCTCTCTTGTTTCATGGTATTTCGACAATACGTTTTGATTCTTTTGAGGCAAGAGAAATCTCGTTCATTTGAGGCAGACGTTGGTGGTAATGAGAGAATTAATGACAATAATTTATTAATTTCGGTAACAGTTTGTTGTAATGAATTGCAGTATATAAAATTATACATATCTTGTAACTTATCCACTTCCGAAAATATTTGGATCAGCATATAAAACTTTTAATTCATTTTCTAATTTTATTTTATTAAAGAATGATGGATAATTTTTAATTAACCTGTATAATAAATATCTTGGAAATTCTTTGGCGTAACTTTTAAATTTTGAATCGTCAAAGAGGTCAAAAATTTGCAAATCTTCAAAATTCGAAAAACGAGTATCTATTTGCTAATAATAGTATCCAAAATTTCAAAATATACTCGTTTTTCGAGATCTGTTTCTGTGTCATGCCTTTGTCTTTTTTTTGTGGGGTTCGGAAATATCAAGCGAGTCCAAAACGTCACTGCGTATATACTGGAAATTACTATCATTACGAAAATCTCTGAGATTTTGCACCAGTTTTGTTATTCTATTTTTGGAATGAATAATGTCAGTTAACTGATTTTGAACAACATTGAATATCAAATCGGTTTGGGTAAACACTTTCTTAAAAATATTTAAAAGTATGTTAAAAGAGTAATCATTTAATAAAGTTTTCAAACCGATTGCTTCACGGATCGAGATATCATCACTTTCAAAATCGTCACATTCAATAATAAAATCAAAAACTTTCAAAAGCTGTTCACGAAAATCTGCTACAGTGAAAACTAACCGAGATTTAAAATTCCATCGCGTCTGACAAACTTGGCATTTTTTTCGAAACAAACCGTTCTAAAACATTAGTCCGTTTAGGCGAGCTTGAGAAAAATGAAGCAAATCCGCTTAAACTGGCAAAAAAAGACGACATTCTTTAATTTTTTTACATGTATCTTGCAAAACTAAATTCATTCTATGCGCATGACAATGAGTAAATAAAGCTTGCGGTGCAATAGTTTTAACTTTTGCCACGCAGCGCGTCATAAGTTTGCCTACCAATTTATTTTTGATATCAAAAAATTTTAATCTGTCCTTTAAAACACCAAAAATATGTTCTGCCTTATGGCTTTTACTCACGTCTGTAAAACCTAAAAACCTCTCATAGATATTACCACGTAACGCGTATCGAACAACAATTGATAATTGTGAATGACATGATATGTCGGTAGTTTCATCTACTTCTAGTGAAAAGCAAATGGTTTCCTGAATCTCAGATTCAATAACGTTACTCAAAATGTAACTAATTGATTCTATTAATTCATTCTGGATTGTTTTAGATACACCGCTAAATGTCTTCGAATCAGAAAGTAAATTAGAAAATTCCAAATCGTATTTCTTAAACATTTTTATTAGTTCTCTATAATTACCTTGATTTAACGAATGCTTCGATTCATCGTGTCCCCTAAAAGATAATTCCTGACAACTTAAAAAAATTACAATATCAATTAAACGACGTAAAACTGCGTGATTATTTTTTACAATTTCGTTATGTTTAATGCATTTTCACGTTGGGCATTATCTAATGAAACATAGATATTTTGTTTTCCAAATAAATCTAATTTAATCTGGCTGTAAGTATGATCTTTCGAAATATCATGTTTATGTAAAGCCCTAAATAATTCCTTTAATTGATCATAACCAGATTCACACCACGGATTTTAATGTTTGCCCTATTTGTCGAAAATAAAATGCAAGGCCAACAAAAAAGTTTGTTTTTTATTTCACCAGGGCTCCCGGTAAGCCATGAGTACTTGCTGTACCAATTATCTGAAAATGATCTATTACTTCCCTTACCCGCACTAATATTTATAAGCCGGAACATTTTAGGCAAAGGACGCCCCTTACTTTTAATAACAATTTGTTCTTCGTATGGAATAGATGAAAACTCATTATGCAAAATATAATTTACAATATCAGACTTAGGAATACTTACAGTTTCTCCCATGGCTTGCATTTTTTAGGTTAATTTACCTGAATTTGTTTAAACTTTAATTAAAAAAAAACTTTTAACCTTTAACTATTTACGGCAGACGTAACGTATCACAGTATTACTTTAGAAAATAAAAATAAATCACAAAAAGAAAGACTAGTTCGTGCACTGAATATCACTTCACAGGAACGTAGATTCCTTGTGGACTTCACTTTACTACATTTATATGAAATAACATTTCGTCCAACGCTCGCAATGTAGATACAGTTCGCGACCAATCACCAATCCAAATGAAACATCGGCAAATTTAAATTTGCCGTACTTGGTAATTAAGTTCATATGGAAAGAAATGTATATTTGGTTGCTAATCAACCAATATTCCGTTGATTTTTACAAGTAAAGTCAAGGTTGGGATCGGCTAGGGGCACTAGATGTAAAATCACTTAACTGTCTTTTCTATATCTTGCTTTACTTCTATTTTAAGTATGAGAAGACAGTTAATGAAAGGTTTCTGCTTAGGTGGATCAATATAATATATTGGCCCACTAATTGTCTGATTGCGTTTTAAATTGTAGAAGGTACAGATTTAGGTCAGAACCTAAATTGTGGTTTCGATTTTTTCGGATTTTTACTTTCTGTTTTACTTTTAGATGTCTCCATGTGTATCTTCACGAAGTTATTTCACGAGGAATTTGATTTTTTTACTATACGTAAAGTTAATTTTTTACTGTCTTTTCTATATCTTTATTTATTCATATTTTGAGGATTAGAAGACAGTTCATAAGAGGTTCTTGCTTAGATAAATCGATATGATGTGGAATACAACTTTAGATTCCCCATGCCGGTCCATTTTTAAAAATGGTCCAGAAAGCACAGATTTAGGTAAGAATCAAAATTTTGGTTTCAAACATATAGAAATCTCTGGATTTTTACTTTTTGTTTTAGTTAAAAATGTGTTACACTTCCAGTGATATCATCCTATTCAAATATTTGTTTTTTATTATTTTTTTTTGTAGAATTAAGCACCTTTCTTGTTTGTCATTTTAGTTACTATTTATTTTGGTGTTTCCTATTGTCTACTATTCTACTATTGTCCTATACTATTCAAAGCAAGTTTGGTTTGTTTGAACAGTGGGGAAATCATTTGAATGATAATTTTAAAACCTCCTGTAAATAGTTAACAAACAACAAATAGTGAAATTCTTCTAATTTTAAAATTATTTCACCTAGACCAGTTTTTCATTTTGTTACTTAACATTTCTTTATGTAGGTAGGCTTAAATTTGAAACAAACAATTTAGACCAAGACGATGGATATGCAGTTGTACAAGAATCTACCATAACTAAATCTATCAGGCAAATGGAAATCACAGATAATATCATAACAGCTCAAGCTGTAGTATTTTTAATAGGAGGCTTGGACACCAATTCCACTACTCTCGCCTTGATGTCACATCAGTTGGCGATCCACCAAGATATTCAACGAAGGCTTCAACAAGAAGTAGATGAGGTTTTTAAGCAATGTGATGGAAAATTGACGTACGAAGTGGTATTGAGAATGAAATATCTAGACCAAGTTATTTCTGAAGTATTAAGAAGGTACTGAGGGAGTATTTTTAAAGTCTTCTTTTTTTAATTTTGGTGACGGAACTAAAAATTTGACTAAGACAAACGATCATAATTTATTAATATAAGTCAATGAGTTTATTTTTGATAATATATATAGTATAGGCTAAATGTGATCGAATATACTAGTTGAATAAAGCATTTTCATTATTTTATTTAACATAAATATCGTCGGTATTTCTCTAATATTTCTCTATCTTGTAATATCTTGTAATCCTTTATCAATATTTTAATTATCATCTTTTTTAATTTTAGATATCCTCTAGGATACGCTATAATGCGCAAATGCGTAAAAGATTACAAAATAGAGTCTTACAAACGAAGCGAGTCCACCTTTATATTGGAAAAGGGAGCTTCGGTGACTATCCCCATTGTTGGAATACATATGGATCCTCTTCTATTTCCGGATCCCGAAAAATTTGATCCGGATAGATTTAGTGACGAAAACAGGAAGAATATCGTACCTGGTAGTTATATGCCATTCGGGAGCGGACCTCGCAATTGTATAGGTAAATTACAAGAATTTGTTATATCAGTACAAGAATCATATTTTTCTTCGTCTTCGTATGCTTCATCTTTTAAGGAGATTTGCGATCATCACGGCTCAATTTTGCCATATCTGTAGCAGATCTGAAGAGCTGCTTTGTTGTTTTTCTACTACCCTGCCTTAAATTTTTTAACCAGGACTCTCCCCAGTCCTCCTTTACCTTCCACTTTCTTTTGTATAACCAATCGCAACAACTCATATTTTTATATCATATTATATCATATTTTATAATAATATCTTTATAAAAACAATATTTTGTAATAGTTTTTTTTATGTAGTATGAATGTAAAATTATACAGGGTGGTTCTTAAGTAATTGTACAAAAAGTAACCACAGATTCTACACTTTAAAATATTACGATTTAAGCCAACTTCCTATAATAAAATGTTGATATTAAGAAAGATACAGGGTGTTAAAGTGGAAATTTAAAATTTTATTTTTCGCTATACCTTTCATGTTTGTCAACATTATGTATACAAATTTAGAACTGATTACAATTAAATATCAGAAATTGTAATTTGATGTAAACTTTAATGTAGCTGATAGAGGGCGTCACATATGCCACATATGTGGGATACATTTGCACTTAACTTTTTTGCTCTTAAAGATTCCGGTATTTTTAATAAAAAAAATGTAAGATACATTATTTTATCAAAAAAAAAGTATACTTGTTAATATCTTTAAAACTCAACAGTTTTCGAGAAAATCGCATTTTAGAAATCAACTGCATAATTCTTATTTAACGCAATTACTCCAGGCAATGAAAGAAAAATAGATAAAAACATTAATACTTATGAATTTTGTAATAAAATACCTTTAATAAAGTTAATAGTTAACGAAATATTAAATAAAATAAATATATCAACAGGATAATTAATAATAGGATTTGATAAAATAACAGAATAATTGGATTTTACATCAAACATTTTACTTTTTGTATTAAAGTTATAATTAAAACATTTTATTTACATACTAAATCAAGAAATAGTTAAATTAAATCACATTAAACTTTTTGTCAAAGTAAGTGTTCGATATGTCCACCATTTTCTTTAATTCATTTGTCAATACATTCCTTAAAATATCGTCTCATATTAAATAGCATCATTGGTTCTAAAGAAATGCTGCAGTACTAATTATAAGTATAATAATAGGTATTCTTTTGAGATTTTTATGAATTAAATAATTATATTAATATCTCACCACATGACCAAGGAATATGACTAACACGAACGTTCAGGAAAGTTGTTTTTAAATACTGTTCTCACTCCCCTTTCTCTGTAACGTGTGTACCATCTTGTATAAACCACACATTAAGCCTTAAGTTTGATGACAATTCTTCCATAATAATAAAATCATTGTATAACAAATGTAAATAAATCTCACCATTCAAATTTCAAGGTAATTCGCATATCCGTAAAATATCATTCAAAATTCATATTTAAAATGCATGTCCTATGATTTGGAACCATTGGTAATTATTTTTTACGTATATGCGAATTAACTTGCAGTTTGAATGTCGAGATTTATTTACATTTTTTATAAAATGATTTTTTTGATTTATTCGAAGAATTGTTATCAAACTTAAGGCGAAATAAGTGGTTTCTACAAGATGGTACACCAATACATTACAGAGAAAGTGGAGTGAGACTGTATTTAAATACAACTTTCCTGAACGTTGAATTGTTCGTGATAGTCATATTCTTGTGGTGAGATACTACCTATTTTAATTATTTAATTCATAAAAGTTTTAACAAACTACTTATTATTATACTTATAACACTTATAATAAATACTGCAGTAGTTTCTTTAGAATCAATGATGCCATTTAATTTGAGACGATATTTTGTGGAATGTATTGACAAATGCATTAAAGAAAATGGTGAACATATTGAACACTTACTTTGACAAAAAGTTTAATGTTAGTTATTTTAACTATTTCTTAATTTGTTTTGAAAATAAAATGTTTTGATTATGACTTAAATTTAATAAAAAACGTAAAATGTTTGATGTAAAATCAAATTATTCTGTTATTTATCAAATCCTATTATTTTATCCTGCTGATATATGTATTTTATTTAATAATTCGGTAACTATTAACTTTATTAAAGATATTTTATACCAAAATTCAGAAGTATAGATGTTTTTCTTCAATTTTCTTTGGTTGCCTGGAGTAATTGCGATAAATCAGAATTATGTAGTTGATTTCTAAAATTCGATTTTCTCGAAAACTGTTAAGTTTTAAAGATATTAACAAGTATACCTTTTTTTTGTTAAAATAATGTATCTTTAATATTCTCTATTAAAAATATCGCAATCTTGAGGAGCAAAAAAGTTAAGTGCAAATGTATGCCACACTCTATCGCCTACATCAAAGGATACATCAACTTATAATTTCTGATATTTAATAGTACCGATTTCAAAAGAGTCACTCATATCCAAATCTTTTTTGGACCAGCACTTTTTCTTCTCCATAATTTTTTTTTATTATTATTTTTCCTTAAACTGGAACGATATGCTGTTGACATTACATATTATGCGACTGCTGGACACGATAGTGGTACACATTGAGATTGGGGTTCAGTAGGCGTAGAACAAATCTCACCGTATAATGAGAAAGCTGCCGTGAGTTATGTGATGTAAGTCTTATGTATGTGTACCATGCCATGCCATGCTCACTCAACAAATTTACAGTCAAGACATAGCTACAGCATCTATGTCAAATAATCTGTTCATCCGCCAGTGTTCTGTAGAGCCACAAGTACAAGAAACTTTGTTACTCTTTATATTTTTTTAAAGCAAACAAAAATAAAATAATTAATTCAAAATCACGATTCGTAACTGGTCGAAAATACCCAAAATCAGGTGTCAATCATGAATTCTCGGAAATTTTAAATTCGATCATAGGCGGCGCGTAACAAAATATGTTTCCTTGCTAGTCACTTTACATTGAAATAATAGAATATTATATGCCTGCTTATAGTAATAAAAATAATACATTAGATCTAGTTTATAAAATAAGTTTTCATAAATCATATTGTTCACAAACACAATCCTCCCCGCAATTAATCCTACGTATTCAGGACATTTATCAAGATTCGAAGTTTATTTCTGAAAAAAATTCAATTCTCTTGATTTTCAAAATAACCGAGTTAGTCGGTAAGAACACAACAAATAAAGTAACGGCTGAATTAGCAGCTAAATACTACCATTTTACAAGCGTCAATAAAAAACTATAAACGCCGCCAAAAGAAGAACGGGAATATACAGTAAACGTTTTACTTGCAGGGTATGAAACAGGAATGATAACGCAGCTCAACAAAAACGGAAATTGGTTATAAATATGAACAATACACTGTAGACGGACTCAAAGTTACAAACAAAAATACAGAATATAAACAAAATGTTAAACATCAAACAAAAAAACATATTAAAATATGAAAACATAAATAAAGTCTGGGAAGAGTGCAGAAAAGTCATGAAAGATGCAGCTCAAGAAATACTAGGCTTGAAAGGTAAACGAAGAAAAACAAAAACTTATGACTGGTTTGATGAAGAATGTCAGATTACAACATTAAAAAACAAAGCATTTAAGGTCATCTCATTAGACGTACCAGGCCCGTGCTCGTCACCTGACCGGCACATGCCATGCTTTTTGTAAATATTCACACTATTCGCGCTCGTAGCATGCTTCAGCGGTATTTTGCACAGGCAGTCGGTTAGACGTGTTCGGTGGGTAGCTGTGCAGTTGTAATGTTTTCCACGGCAACTTTAGTAAAAAATTGCATTTTTTACTTTGGATGCCGAAGAAGAAGAGAATATGAGAGATAAGTTAAAAAGGAGGTTTTGGATACATCCAATGATTAAGAAAAGAAAAATAGAAGGAAAATACTATACCTTGTATAAAGAACTCATGGATGATGAGTCAAAATTTTATATATATTATAGAATGTCAATTGCCAAATTTCAGCAGAATTACCAGCAGAAATACCAGCAGAATGCAATTTGAACAAATTGCCAAAAAAATTTGGTTGTCGTGGAATTTTCCCAGGAGCATTACGAGCCCTAGATGAAAATCACATCAAAATTATAGCACCAATCAATAGTGGTTTCAGCTAGTTTAACTACAAAAAGATTTTTTCTGTAATTCTACTTGCTTTAGTAGATATGTCGTTCGACTTGCTCTAGGAAATCACGATAAACCATTTTTGACCTTAAAAAACTGACTTCCTCCATTTTCCGAACTCAGGTCGTCCGTAAATTATTTTTCTTTTATTTCTGTCATATCATCTTTCTTTTCCAACGAGTTTCATCCTACTATTATTTTTTTTGAAATGTTATCGGCAGTGGTCTATTACCTAGATAAAATATAGTGTTTTATTTACCTATTTTAATTTGTTCTCACAATATCCCACCATACCTGAGACTTATGTGCTGCATCTGCATACAGTCGATTCATAAAATCGTATAATTCACTTCTCTCATGAACTAATTCTATTAAAAATTTATCAGTATCATGTGAAAATAATTTTTTTCGCACCATTTTGCCTGTCGAAACTCGTCTGAAGTATTCACACTATGTAGGAACTGTGCAAGGAATGTGCCAGGCATGGGCTAGGAAAATATTGTTTGAAAAGATTGTTCGATGCCGGGCACGGACCGTTCTCACTCCAAGCACTTGTAGTGAGAACGGACCGTCGGTAAAACCCATTTAAATAACGTTAAAGTAATTTTGCACGTCTCGAGCAGGGCACAAGCCGAGCACATGCCTGGCACTATAGTGAGAATATGACCTTAAATGAGGTACCAGGAACACAGAATCCAACAAGCAGAGGAGGAATTTAACTAACTACGTAAAAAAGAAAAGAAAATCCACCGCTGAAAGAAGAAAGAAACTATTAGCGAAGAACTTTAAGAACTACAAGAACTAAGTAAGCCAAGAAAATGTTACCAAAAACAAAATTAGAAAATAGTTCAATCAAAACATATAAAGAGATAAGGAGGGTAATATATTGATATAACAGCAGGAAAAACTAAGAAGATATATTAGATGTGCCTTTGAAATACTCCACTTAACGTTTTCTTAAAAAATAAATTATCATCTTCTTTGTAAAAGTCATTCGGACAGCTAAGCCATACGGTAAACTTATGATCCCGCATAGGACTTATTTTAATTATTTTTGGGGAAGGGTATAATCGATATATAATACTTATATATATATATATATATATATATATATATATATATATATATATATTAATTATATATTATATTTATATAAAGCAGGTTCCTACAGCCTCTGCCGTTTCTCGCATTTCGACCGCCATCGTTTTCTGTCCATCCATTCGTCTTCTCTGATGGCTCTATCTCTCATTATGTGCCGTACATTTTCTTCCCAGGCAACTGAAGGCCTTCCCTTCTTCTTCTTTGTTGTGGTATGTAATTTAAAGCTTTCTTTGGCCATCTATCTTCATTCATTCGTTTCACGTGACCATACCACACTAGTTGTCTCGTTTCAATTCTATCTACACTGGAATATACAGTATTTGTCCTCCTTCTAATATCTTCATTCCTGATGTGATCTTTTTTGGATATACCACACGCTCTCCTTAGAAAATCCATTTCTACTACTTCTATTCTTTTTCTATCCTTCTGCGTTATCTGCCAAACCTCTGCCCCATAAGTCATAATAGGCTCTACCAAGGTTCGATAGATTGTCAATTTCGTTTCTTGTCTAATATCTTTAGACCAAAGTAGAGAGTTTAGAATGTTTACCACTTTTTTCCCTGCTGTGTTCTGTTTTCGATGTCTCTTTTGGTAGTGCCTTCTTTAGATATTATAGATCCGAGATATTTATATTCATTGCATGTTTTTGTGTTTCTAATTTCTAACTCTGGATCTTCTTCACCATCTCCTATTTTAAGATACTCTGTCTTTGCCATATTCATATTGAGGCCCCATTTTTCATATTCTTTCTTTAGTTTTCTAAACATGTAGTCCATGTCTTCCTCGTCATTCGCTACGACTACCTGATCATCTGCGAAAAATAAAGCTGTTAGACATTCACCACCGCCTATGTCTATTCCCATTCCGGATACTTGTTTTCTCCACTGCTCTAGCGATGATTGAATATATATTTTAAACAGGGTCGGAGACAGACAACATCCTTGTTTAAGCCCCTTGGTTATTGGAAATGATTCAGATATAAAGTTTCCTTCTTTAACGACACTTCTTGCATTTTTGTATATATTTGCGATAGCATCCACATACTCTCTACTGAGACCTACTTTCGTCAATGTATAAAATAGTTTTTTCAAAGGTACCGTATCATATGCCTTCTCTAAATCTACAAACAATAGGTGGGTAGATAGATTCCTTGCCTTCCGTTTTTCGATTACCTGCTGCAGAACGAATATATTATCAATGCACGATCTTCCTGCCCGAAATCCATTTTGTTCCTCTATGTCTTCATATTCTGATTCAATTCGTTTTTTTATTATTCGACCGTACAACCTCCCAACTGAGCTAGTAACAGTTATTCCTCTATAATTAGAGCAATTGCGTTTATCCCCTTTTTTGTATATTGAGCTGATGTATCCAACATTCCAATCATCAGGGATATTTTGTCCTTTTAAGCATTTATTAAATAGTTTAACCATCATCTCGTGTAATATTTTTGGTCCATACTTTACAACTCAATTGGGATGTCTCCAGGTCCTGCTGCTTTACCGTTTTTCGATCTTTTGAGGGCATCGCTTAACTCTCCGGTTGTTATCTCAATTATTTGTGTATGTTCAGATATTTCTTCCATTTCGATATCTTGGAATTTACGTCTATCCTCTGTCAATAAGACCTCATAATGCTGTTTCCACTGTTTCAGATCTATTAATTTTAAGTTAGATTTTTCCTTTCCTTCCCTCCGGAGAGACTTTATCACCTTCCACGCTTGCCCAACTCTTGTTCCACCCATATACCTATCCACCTCTGCACATCTTCGATCCCACATCTCATTTTTACTTTTCACTACTTCTCTTTTTACATCTCGATTTAATTTCGTATATACCTTGTGATCTTCCTCCTTTCTCGTTGACATCCATTTCTGATAAGCAGTTTTCTTCTTGTTTACTAACGTTTTGCATATTCTCCGACCACCATTCTTGATTTTTTGTTTCATGTTTGTCTTTATACCCCAAAGCTTCACTTGCAGCCTCATGAATGTACTTTTTAAGTTGTTGGTATAATTCTTCCGCTGTTATATTTTCTCGATCCACATTTTGTAATTTTGTGGCCAGTCGTAATTTGTAAAGAAATTTTGTTGAATCTTCTTTTAAGCTTTCTAGGTTATATTTAGGAGATGTTACTTTTTGTCCCTTTTCTATATTCTGTACCTGAGTGTTATTGTTTTTGCGATAGTTAACTATCACATTGGCCATAAGTAAATGATGGTCGGATCCACATTCTGATCACACGGTATACCCTTACGTCAGTTGTTTTCAGCTGGGAAGTTTGACGTTGGATTACAAAGTCGATTATCGAGCGCAGATTCCTAGTAGGTTGTATCCATGTAAATTTGTGGATGTCTCTATGTTGAAAAAATCCATTTCATAATTTTGAGAGACATTATTTCACAAAAATCTCTAAGACGCATTCCGTTGTCATTGGCATATAACTTAATACTTTAATAACTGTACGATTTTATCTTTTATTTTAGGCCTATCAATAAAGTCAAATGAACTCTATTACCAAGAAGAATAATTTGCCAAGTAACCAAAAACGATCTACAGCTAGCGCCTGAGAAAACTGAGGTGTAAGTTCTCAAAGAGACTCTGGAAAGATTCTTCGCTTTGTAGTGGAAGGTGTGGAGGTTGCACCGGTTAAATCAATTAAATATCTGGGAGTCTGGTTGTCAGAAGGTCTAAGGTTCGGAGTATACATTCAAAAGACATTGGAGAAGGCAAACCAAAATCTGGAAGCGTTGATACGGTTAATGCCAAACATTGGCGGCCCAGGAAGCACCAAAAGAAAGATGCTAAATGGAGTTTTCCAGTCGGTGGTAACTTATGCTGCCCCTGTGTGGTGTAGTGTACTAAACACTGCGAATTACGCTAAGTTGATGGAGACTTCGCAAAAACGAATGCTCCTCAGGGTGTCTAGTGCATATAGGACAGTCTCGAATGAGGCTCTATATGTTATTGGAGCGGTGATACCGATCGTTTTGTTGTGTAAAAAGCGAGTGAGGATGTATGCGAGGAGGATGGATGTAAATATACATGAAAATGAAAGAGAAAGAACGATAGTAAAGTGGCAGAGACAATGGGCAAATGATGGTGGAAAGGCAGGGTGGGCGAAGGAGCTTATTCTCGATCTGAGACCGTGGATTGAATGTAAGTTCAGGAAACTAGACTACTTCCTGAGGCAGTTTCTGACCGGACATTGTAGTTTTGGCACCTTCACAAATAGAATAGGCAAATCTGCCTCGGCAGACTGTGCTGTTTGTGCGGTACCGGATGCTCCCGCCTACATTTTTAACTACCAGAGATGGGTAAATGAGATGGGAGATTTCGAGAGGCGAATGGTTTTCGGGCGGGATGAAAGAAACATTGTAAACTTAATGTTGAGAGGAGAGAACGAATGGGGAGAAGTACACTGTCTGGTTTCTGGGGTGATAAAGAAAAATGAGCAGGAGCACAGAGGAGGAAATTAAGCCAGGGATCTAAAAATTTATAGTTTATAATGTTTATTAGTTTATTTCCTAACGTCTAAACATTTTCTGATTTACGGTAATAGGTATGGTTATATATAAATTTTTAGTTTTTTATTTTAGTTGTTTATTGTGCGACAAGACTACCTCTCTGGACCAGTGGTTAAGGTTTTAGCCGGAACACGGATAATCCGACACTACCCTGGGGTCTTCTGGCTTTGTATCCCACTCGGCCGGAAGATACCAGGGTGTCTTGTTCCGTGACGTAGAGGTCCCAAAAAGATTTCCCCACCATTGCCTGTCAGAATTACCTTCTTAGGCTCTTACTGGAATCTGGCAATACCGCAATTAAAAAAAAAAAACCAAAAATAAAATTTGTTGAATTTATTAATGTTTTGCATTTTGAGAACGCTTTCCAAAGTGGAAATCGAAACTTCAAACGTCAAATAACCTTATTTTAAAGTAAAATTGTGGCTCATTCACAATAAAACTAATGAATACACTTATGTTTCAGGATCCAGATTTGCTGTTTTAGAATGTAAGACTGTAATGGTATGTCTTTTAAGGAAATTTGACATTGTGCCTACGAAAAATACCAGAAACCCCTTACGTTTTAAAAAGAATATAACAGTGTCAAGCAGAGATGGATTTTGGTTAGGTCTAAGAAAAAGGAAACACTGATTTTTGTACTATAATGCTAAGCTAAATAAAGTTTTGACTTTTATATTTTTTTAATAGTTCTTTTTTTATTTTTCTATTTTATTGTTTTAATTTTTTGTTGTTATATTTTTTTCTTTTTTTTTTCATCCACAGTAACCCTTTGGAGTCATTAATTTATTTCAATAATTTTTTTAATATCAAGTTCGAGGCTGTCTTGGTACAACATTGTACCATCTCAAACCTAACTATTTAAAGAAAAACTTATATAAAGTAATATGCCTTTCACTATTTTATTTACATTTTCTCCATAGCCTCGTCGATTTCGTCTCTGAATCACCTTCGGGGTCTTCCTCTCTTTCTTCTTCCGATCGGGCTCCATTCTGTGATTTTGTTTATCCAGCGTCCTCTGTCCGCTCTTCTGATGTGGCCGTACCAGGATAGTCTCTTCTCCTCTATATAGTCGATTATGTCTGATTGCACTCCCATTCTCCGCTTAATCTTTACGTTTTCAATTCTGTCTCTTTTTGTAAGTGTACAGCTTCTCCTCAGGAACTCCAGTTCTACTGCTCTTATTCTACCTCTATTTCTCTTGTTTATTGTCCAGTTTTCGGACCCATATGTCAGGATACTTCTTGTCAGGGTATTATATATTCTCTTTTTTGTCTTTATCGTAATGTTCTTATCCCACAGCACTGAATTTAGTTATCTTATACAGTTTCTTGTTTGTCTTAGTCTGTTGTTTATATCTTCTTCTGTTGTTTCCTGGTTCGATATTATGGTTCCTAAATACTTGAATTTATCTGTTCCATTTACTTGTCTTCCCTCGCCTATCTCTAGGTTTTTCATATCCTTGTTTTCTGTTGTTAGGTATTCGGTTTTCTCCAAGTTTATTTCCATTCCGTTTTCTGAGCATAAAGCTGAGATCTTCTTCATCTTGTGCGATGACTACTTGATCGTCAGCAAAACTTAAGGTGTATAGGTATTCGTCTCTTACTGGTATGCCCATTCCTTCGCACTTTCTCCTCCATGGTTTGAGTATCTTTTCCAAGAATATTTTAAACAAAGTAGGGGACGTAGCACAGCCTTGTAGAAGTCCTTTTGTCGTCTTAAATGGATTGTAGGCTTTATTTCCACATTTAATAGCCACTTTGTTTTCTTTGTACAGTGCTTTAACTGCTTTTATTAGTGTTTGTCGGATTCCGAGATCATTCATTGCTTCCCATAATTTGACTCTAGGTATTGAGTCGTATGCTTTCTTTAGATCAACAAACGTCAGATGGACCGGTCTACCTTTTGCCATTTTTTTCTCTATCAGTTGTTCTAATGTGTACGTATGATCTAGGCATGATTTTCCTACTGCGAACCCTGCTTGGTCTTCTCCAATTTTTCCTATTATTTCAGTTTATAGTTTTTCCTTGATAATTTTTACGTAAAGTCTACCTACCGACGATATTATACTAATTCCTCTGTAGTTTTCACATTTTTTCCTGTTTCCTTTCTTATGTGGAGGCTTCTTATGGGAAGGCACTTTTTGTGCTAAATATTCTACTGCCAAAAATACTCTGATTAAAGAAAGATGTATTTGCGTGTTTCGTTGACTTCGAAAAGGCATTCAATAAAGTACAGCATGTAAAATTAATGCAGACGCTAAAAAATATAGGACTAGATGACACATATACTCGTATATATATATATATAACAAGCGAGTCTTCTACAGCGCCGTTTCTCGCATCCTAATTTCCAGCGTTTTCTATCGAAGCAATCTTCAGTTGTTAGATCTCTGGCGGTCATTGCATCGTCGACATCGTCTCTTCAGGATCGTCTTGGTCTACCTCGTTTTCTTCTGGTTGGCGGAGTCCATTCTTCTATTTTTTTTTTGGCCATCTATTTTCCGGCATTCTCTGAAGGTGTCCATACCAGTTAAGTCTTTTGGCTTCGATTGTGTCTATATACTCCTGTCTTTAAAAATCTGTAAGAACTGGAATCAAACTGCTATCGTAAAAATTGGAGACAATTACACCGACAAAATCTCTATATAACGAGAAGTCAGACAAGGTTGCGTTTTGTTCTCAACAATATTTAATATTTACTCGAAACAGCTATTTAAAACGCACTTAAGAAACAGCCGTATGGACTCAAAATCATCAGGGAACTACTTAATATAATTAGATAGGCAGATGATACAGTAATTTTATCAGAAAATATTGAAGGTCTCCAAGTTCTGCTTGATCGTATTCACAAAGTAGGAGATAAAATAAACTTAAATAAAACAAAATTTTTAGTCAATATAAGGTTGAATGTTCGAATAATTAAACTTTGAGGGTATACAAGGCAACTATCGAAACACGGTGATTAATTTAATCTTGCCAAGTACTTTCAATCAATAGATCATCTTCAGGGGCATTTCGTCAATTGTGGACTATCCGACATAGTAGAATGTCATAAATTTAAAACTGGACATAACAATACAAAAAACACTACACTAAGACAAACAAACACTTTAAAATTTATATGGCGAAGCTACATATTGTGAAGAAGCTCATTCTGTCTCCGGCTTGTATATTGTACCATCCGATACTTAATTCCAAACGTGTCTAAAAACATTTGTCGGCAAACCTGTAACTGTTCTTGTCCATTATTTAAAATGGTACTGTAAAGTTTTGGTACGTCTGGAGTCATCTCGATGAACAGTATTTTTTATTTTATTAATATGCTTTACATGTGCTGCAACAAAGCATGTCTTTGTTCCCAAGTTATTTTCCAAAAATGCTCGAAAATTCTTTTTCTAACGTCTTCTGAAAACTCGGAACAATACCTAAATTTTGATTTTCTACACACTTCTTTGTCACAAGTGGGTTGCATGTGACGAGCATCTTTTTGTTTCAACTGTTCATACTTTCCTGTTTGCCCTTTCATGAATCCCAAATAAGGTTTCCCTTCCATTCGGAGTTTCTTATTTTTGTTTCTTTTCCATTGGCTAGGATCAACATTTCTTTTTTTTACGCCCTTCATTAATATTGTGATTATTGGGATCAAGTTCTGCTTCAGAACTGTCTGTAGAATTTTCATCAGATCCTTCGCTATGGCTATTATAAACAGGATCATATTCTGAACCATCATTTGACGAACTTCTGTTTACAAATATTTGATTATCAATTCGATTTGTATTTGAAGTTGACGGTCCTTCAATACTTAACTGCTGATCAGCTATGGGACCTTGAACGTCATTTGACAAATCAGTATTTGTACTTGATGGTTTTACTGCACTTAAATGTTGATCAGTTGCGAGACCTGCTTTTTGATTGTCAGTAGTAGTTTCATCAAGTTGGTCAAGAGCTGGATTATTTTCTGCACCGTCTGTAGCTTTGTTTGACGAATCTGTTTTTGAAGTTAATGGTTCTACAATAACTGAATACTGATCTAAATCTTTTCGACTTTAGGACTGTTAGTAACGTCTTGAAGGATAATATTGTGTCCTGTTATAATCGGATCAACTGTAATAGGTACATCCCGACTTGTTACAGATTCCCCAAAATAGTTATTAAAGTGATCGTTTCAGTAACGTTGATTTCATCAGTTGCCTAAAAAATTAATTAAGGTATAATCAAGAATTGCTTTGAAGAGTATTAGTACCTTAGTCACAGTTTTGGCTAATTGATCGCTTGATGCTATCTGTAACTCTCTTGCCATTTCAATAATTTTTTTCCTCTCCCTGATGGATGCATTCTTTTAGTAATCACCCTGTAAATAATTACTTATTATAAATCAAAAACCCTTACGGACTATTGTACAACAAATAGAGTGGTAATTATTTATTAATTTACAGTAGAGTATTTTTAACTGTAATATACATACAGCCAGATTTGTCACAGATTAATTTTACCTAGGTTTGTTTTATAAGATTACAATACATAATTAAATTTATATATGGACAAAAAGCATAAAGTCCTATCTGGCAATGTTATTATGAGTGAATTATTAGCAGTTATAGTTTCTGATAAAACGAAATGTCCTATCTATCTCTAACCTAAACCTAATCTATCTCTTAATATAGCTAATATTTAGAATTTTAACGGTAAATCAATACTGCAAGTATACTATTTGCTTCATACTATTTTATTAACAACTTACCAATATCGTGAACAAAAATAAACGTAAAATAAACGTTTTTCTACAGAAAAACTTCGACAAATCACCAGCATGTACTTTAGTTTATGGAGAGAAGACACTAAATGCTTAGATAGGATTATTTACTTGTAGATCTGTTGACGCTAGAGATAGTACAAATCAGGGTTTAGTTTCATTTCTTTAAATTATTATGGGAGACTTTAGAGGAAGAAGGGTGACCTCATGCAATCTTATTATATATTTTTCATACTTTCATACTATTTTAAAGAAATGAAACTAAACCCTGATTGTTGTTTAAAACACACAAATCAACCTCAATTGCAAATATAAACCTCTTTTTAAATTATTATGGGAGACTTTAGAGGAAGAAGGGTGACCTCATGCAATCTTATTATATATTTTTCATACTTTTATATTTTTAAACAAATTTTAAACTTTATTAGAAATTTACAACATTTTGTAATTCATTTGACAGTTATTCTTAATTGAAACATGAAAATACATTCTTAAAAAATTTTTTATGCAAATTTCTTACAATTTTCCATCAACAGATACAATTCTCAATACACTTAAGTATCAGATAACGTAACATTAATACCATGTTTCTTCTTTATATTGTTGTTGAACAATTTGAGCCCTTGTTTCTTAAGGATGGCTGTCAGATTGAACATACATTGACCTTGAGCAATGACTTGAGTGAATTTACAAACTAATGTCATTCTGTATGATGTGATGAACACATAAAATTTAATTTAAAAAACTTAATTTTTAGAAAGTCTTTGATGACTATTAGTAATTCCAAACTACTAAATAATTTTGTAAGAATTTAAAAAACAATCTCTATTTCCTATATATGACATTTGTCAACTGTCACTTTTGAAAATCGTTTTAAAAGGACGACATTTGATTTCATTAGTTCTATTCTGTCCACCTCCTCACATCAAT